ACACACACACACACACACACACACACACACACACACAAAATGCAGCATTACACTGGCAGCATGATGACATCAACATTCTGTAGATGAGTTGTTGTGGCAAACTGAGGAATATTTTGATACTACATTAAAGAAAAAGGTTTTGCTTAAGCAAAGGTTTTAAATCTCTTTTGGTTTAATAAATACAGCATTATGATGTAAGGGAAAAGTACGAGCTAATCCAGGTCCTGTAAATAAGCAACGACATGACAGTCATTCTTTTCAGTTTCTGTGTGTATTGTGACACAATGTGGCAGTGCTGACAATACTGGAACCAGGCGCCTCTAGTGGACAAAAACTCAGCTGCACAACTTTAAAGAAATGATTTGACCTTATGGGAATCGCACTGAATTGTATTCTTGTCGAGAGTAAGGTTACACCCTGCTATTATTTAGCTTTGCTTAACGCAAAGACTGGAAATGTGTGGGGGTGCATTGTCCAAAATTTTCCAAACTATGACACATTTTAAAAATCCATCAAAATGCTATGCTGCAGTGGGCTAGGGATCCAAATGCAACTGCTCTGTGATCCAGAACCTGCAGAGAAAGACGTTATGGGGAGCTCACCTCCAGCACCAGCCACAGCTGTCCGCCTGATAGATTGTCTGACTTGTAGAACATGCCATAAAACTTCACCACATTCGGGTGGTTGGACAGGGACCTCAAGATGTTGTATTCAGCCTCTATCTCCTCATCCACATCCTTTAAACAGCAACAGACAAAACAAGCTGAATTGGATTGTACAGTTGCAAGAGATGCAGCTAATCACATGTTAACAAACCGATACAGTGACAACGGTAATAAGATTGAAATATTTCAGGTTGCATTCGATTTTGAAACACAGCACAACTACCACAATTGGACACCTAATGAAAGGGTTGTAAACTCAGTAACAGGAGAAAAGGAGGCACTGGGTCCTAATCTATTCCCGGAAGCACTTTTCTATCAAAGTAAATCTCTGAAGGACGGAAGAGCAACAGTCAGAGAGGCAGAATTTCTCTTCTTGGATGTCTGAGTGATAATGTCAGCAGTCTAATCAGGGAGAGGGATGGAGGAGGAGGCAGCTTCATCTTCATGGGCATCAGGGGAGCATCATGGTGGATATCACTGCCAGGATGGGGATTGTTCCATTGACACAACCACAGGGCAGCCAGAGACAGAGTGTCACGAGCACAATGCGGTGCAAATGCAGAGTCTACTGCGTCCTTATCACGCAGACAAACGAGTGGAGGATACAGCCACTCCGAGAGCTACACTTTCTGGTGAGGGTGTGTTAGACTTAACATGACAGGAAATAAATGAAAAGGGAAGACATTGATGTATTTCACGGAAGCAAGGACAACTGAATCAAGATGGAAAGAAGGGAAAAAGTAACTTACTCTGTTTGAATGGCTCGCATGCTGAGACAAGTTACATAGTTATAAAGAAAAACACAGAGATTTTAGTCTTTGCCTCTTTTTGGCTTCTGTCACAATATTATGAGTTTTTGTAGTCATGAATAAATGCTTGTGGGCATTCTTTCCTTCTCCAGTTCTGATAATAACAATTTATAGAGAGGAGCAATACACAGACATGTCACATCAATGAATAATCTGATTTATCCACACTGTCTTTTTTTATCTACAGTTCAGTATTATTTTTGATTCTGGCATTTTAAGCTGCGACCATCAGTCAGTTACACTCTTCCCACAGGAAATCGTACCCACTCACTAAACTTACATAGAGTAGGAACTGACATTTGAGGTGGAGAGTGGGAATGAGTTGGTGTTTAGGTAAAAAAGTTGCATAGCGTTGCTCTAAATGACTGTGTGATGAGGTTTCTGGATGCTCTGAAACAATATATTAAATACAAAGTACTACTTTAGACGATTACATGAAATAATTCTTCTATGTCATCTATATAGAGTCAGCACCTGTCCCATCACAGTTAGGGATAGTTCAAACAGTTCAAGGTTCTTATTCTGTCGAACAAGGCATAAAAATCGCATAATAAAACTTTCCCCTACGTAAATAAAGATTTTATTGGACTCACATTGATTGGGTCCAGAACTTTCACTGCTGCCTCACTTCCATCCTTCTTGTTGGTCACCCTGTAGACTTTGCCATACGTTCCTTTACCGATGGTCTCCACGATGTCCCAGTTACCCGACGGATCGCCCAGGTTTTCCAGGCCAATCATGCTGGACTTGTAGGGATACAGGCCATACAGCGACCTCCTGGAAGATCAACAAAATCTAAAATCAACAGTGGCATTTTAAAAACTCACACCAGGACGACAATAATCACTCCTGAATACTTTGGTTGCTATAACAAGGTATTTCAGTCCCTTTCTAATTCACAACACTTTGTCCTAAATGAACCACACAGGCTTTAACACTCTCACCTCAAGACAGAGAAACACATTGTCAGTTATACCCACAGAGAGGCAGGTGATTCAAATGTATGAACAGTGTACAGCCCACAGTGCACACACAGAGGTACATTTGCTCCCAAAGGCCTCCTCATTCAGATCAGTGAAGTGACTACATCCGCCAAGGGAGACACTTAACAGGTTTAAAGCAGGAGAAATCAAAGCAGAGACAAAGCTGTAGGTGGAGAGGACAAGACTCTACTTACATGGCCAGTGGTATTTTCTTCTGACTCATCAGGGCTGAGAAAAAAACTGGACTAAGGAGTCTCCAGTGACCATGATACAACAACACCTGTAGCAACAGCAAGGGCTTCCTCCCAGAGGACGGGCAACAAGTGGCATTTCACAGCGACACTGAATTAGCCCTCGGGGACCTTGTCACTGCCCACTAAGAAGTGCAATCTCCTTGAGATCAATTGGATTATCTTGACAAGTGGTGTCCTGAATGAGCAGTGAACCGGTGCCACGCCTCCACACAAACAGTTTTGAAAAATGATTATTACGTATAGGGGTTTTATAAAATGCCTTCGGCCCTTGACATGGTAATAAAGACCGATGATCACAGCGACGAAAGAGTCCGATGTCGATCATCAGGCAAGTGATGTTTTTCTGCGACCGCGTACAACATGCGAGACTAACGATGCAAAGCATCGAGTGTCGAAGCAGCTGAAGCACACTAACATGATGGATGAGGAGAGGATGTTGCCACGTTGGGGCGACATGCATCCTATTTTTGGAAAATGACACGCATTCTAGATAAACATGATGGAGGGGAATGTTTGTGTGATCACACGACTGTGCCGCTTGTCATAAACATGTTATGCATCACAGAGGTTGTGCGACCCTGAGGAGGGGAATGAGAAGTCGTTTTTTTTGGAGCAGGAGATTGATGTAAAAACCGTTGAATGATGTTGAACCCTCAGGGGATACAGCTACTCCCGTGTAAGCACAGATTTATGAATCTTTGTGCACGCAGGTTGATATTAGATGGATTTACCACTGTTTAGCGGAGGCGTTCAAATGTGCAGCACAGAGATACAACAGATATCCTTCCATGTGTCCTTCAAGAAGCAGCATGTTTATAATTATACATTTTTATATCACACATTTTAAGTCTCTTCTGTCTTCAGTCTAATAATCCATCATTGATTCTTGTGAAGTTAATCGTCCATCTCAAACCGTCTATGAATAATGCATCGCAGCTGCCTTATTAATCAACAAGGTCCAAACCTGTTTACCTGCCATCGATAACTGTCGCTCTGTTTGGGAACATGCACAGTGCATTGAACACATCGCTGGTCACCTGTTGCCAAGGCACCTTCACCAACTTTTCTAGCAGATGGCTCATATTCCTCAGCACCACGTACCTCCTATAGAATGTTTGAGTGCAACTACAGGCAGAAGTGAAATATACTTATCTAACTCTATCTCATCCTGCAAGAGCTTTCAGAATACATTAAACATCACCATGGGATTTAATTTAATAATAGCATCTACTGTTTGACCATCAATCATCAAAAACATCAAACAATACTGCATATACTTAAAAGCACAAGGTCGCTATAGCAACAGTTTTATGGCAGCCTGTGAACAAATATCTAATGTGCTCACTCACTCATTTGCATCTATTTAATATTCAAACTAGAGTTCAAAGATCAATAGAGCTCAGATCATAAAGCCACAAGTCAAACATACCTGTTTCTGTCAAAGGGTTTGTTTCTCTCCCTCTCACCGACGTGCACCGGACTAATTCTCACCAATCTATAGGGATTAATAATTCACCAGTAATCTGCCATCTGATCCCCAGCACTGTTAAATATTCAAGTGGCAGATGTAGCTATACTCATAATGGCCTGCTGATATGAAGCGTCTCAGGTTGCACACAGGTTACCAGGAAGTTCCTGACAGTTGCTAGGTCACGTGATCTCTGCCCCCCCCCCTATCTGAACACGTTTGGCTGTCACTAATTGAGAAAACAGCTTCTTACATCTTCAGTGACAATAACATAATGAGCATCTCTGCAGCTGCTGCCGTGGTTGGAATGCATGTCTCCAGAAGTGTGCAGGGAAGGAAACATATCTACGTCTACATCACAGAATTTACATGCATTGACCCTGGATGTTTCTGTTGAAATCAGTTCTAAGTCCAATGGATCAAATATAACATGAACAATAGTCAAATGTATTTATATAAATGTATATATATAAAGCTTTTCTAGTCTTTATGATCACTCAGAGCGCTTTACATCACAGTTTTTACCATTAACACATTCATACAGTGAATCTATGTGCAGCACTTTATCTATCACACATTATTCTAAAACACTGCTGGTACAGGGACGATGTGGGGTTCAGTATCTTGCCCAAGAACACTTTAGTTAGTGGACGAGCTACTACCTCTAGAGACACAGCCGCCCAAATTTATATTTGTATATATTTGCAGTAGCTGTATGGGTTTCCATATTTTTGTGCTTTCTGCAAAATGTGGCTTCTTATAGCATAGAGACGGGCTGGGATGTAGAGTATATGAGCATATTGACAGAATATAAAGAAAGACAAACAAAGAAGAAGTTTTGGCAGAGTTCGTTTCATATCAGAATCTTTCCCTAAAATGTCGACCTGCTGTTCAAGATGAAGGATACACAAGCAGTGGGTAAGAACAGGACACCAGGGTTCCTCGATGGCAGTGCTCAGGTTTCCCTTTGTTTACCATCGACTGTCAGCGCCTGAAAAAGGTCGACTGGATCCGTCCTTCAAAATACTGTTCTGTCCTATATGGCCCTGTCAAGTACTTTAAAAACAAAATCCTACATCATAAACTAAACATACATATGACTGTAAACTGTGTAAATCCTGGGGTATGTGTGTGTCTATCTCTCGGTTTGGGGGTTAAGCTTGAGCTAAGCGATGCTCCGAGGTCCGGACGCAGCACAGGGACCAGACAGGGTCTTTCTCACCAGAAAACAACGCAAAGTAAAAGTGAGTAATCTAATTTTCTGCTTCCATCATACTCACACAATCCCACCCTCTCTGGTAAAGCCCTTCGGGAACTTGGTAAACCCTTTGGTAAGTCTGCAGAGAGAGGGGGGAAAAAAACTCTCAAGCATAATCCCTTTTAAGGGGATATGAGGAGGCTTTGCAGTAAACCTCCAGTAGCCAGGAGTCAGGCCTAAAGCTCTGTGCCCTTGTTGTCACCCTGGATGACCAAAGTCTCCCACAGCCAGAGACAAACACATCTTTCTAACATTAATGCCTTTTAATCACAGAGAGTTTTGAACCAAATCTAACTCAAACTGAATCAACCGGATGAATAGAAAGACAAGACTATGATCAGTGTAATGACTCTACACACCTAAACCACAGACGTTATCTCAACAACTGTGATGTGATGCGCTGCAATGCTCCTGCTCGAGCACAACACAGTTAAATGTCACATTTTATAATTAAGGTTTAAGACAATAAATTGCATTTTGTTGAAAAGTTTTTTTGTGTCATCTGGACAAAATGACCACCACAATTTAGTGTTAAGACAAATTGAAACTGTAGACCAGGGCTCAATAAAAGCAGAACCTGACCCTCACTTTTATTTCTAAGATCAAAATCAAAGTTTTAAGACTATATCAAACCAACATTAGCTCATATGACTGGATCTACAAAATGCTTGTGTAGATGAATTGGTGAAACTGTAGCCAACTTCAGAATCAGTTTTAAGAACAAAGAAATACTTTTATTTTCCATAGCTCCACAAGCTCATGAAAAAACATCAAATAAAACGTTATTTTTATTTTGTCATCCACTCCCAGTTAAAAGCGATATCCCATTGGAGCTCTTGCAGAACTATGAGGTACAACCTTAATATTTTTTTAACCTTGTTATATAACCTGTAACATTTATTCTCACCTATTGAACCTCTGAGGTCAGTGTTAACAATGATGTATTTGTGTGATTCGCATGTTACTTATTATACAACCTCTTGACTCTTCTGTGAAACTCCAATGAAAATTAGCAGATTAACACTACCGTATGAAGAAGCCTATTTTCAACAATGTAAAATAGTTAAGCCTATAGGGGCATCAGAGTAGAAGACAATGTGCACATGGTGTGACCTTGAAGGCCTGTGTGTTAGTGGGTGTATTGTGAGTCCTACCTTGACATTGCTGCCTCCGTGTTTCCATCTCTAAAATCTGCAAAACATGGGGAAGTGTGTGAGACATCAGCTGATCCCTGCACACTCCTGTGTCCACCTTCCGATGAGTCAACATATCCCATCACCAGAGTGTTTTACACTGAACTGACTTTAACCAACAGTTCTCTACTTGAAACTTACCCATGTCCACAGCAACATCTCCGAAACTGATTTCCCTGTTTACTCAGGGCAGGACTTTAATAATTCACAGACACCTGAGCCTGTTTGTTCAGCAGGACCGGAAGCTGTGATCTCACCTGTATCACCTCATACACACAGAGGTTTGTTCCTGTTTCAGCTTCAGATACTGACCTGGAGGAAGTGAGAGCACGTCCAATGAAGCTCTGCGCAGCCCCATCTGCAGCCCCAGGATCTCTCTGCAGCAAACAGTCCCTGTGATGTTAACTGGAGAAAATACCTCCGCCGGTCCATAGTACCGACTGTTCTATCTTTGTCTAACAGGCAGAAAACCAGAGGCTTTGTGTGGCCTCCCGTCATTATCCCGGGGGCCTCACTTGTTTATGAAATTTCAACCCAGTTAGCCTGGAAAAAAAGCTCAGTCACATGATTACTGAAGGCCAACACACACTATCTGGAATAACTTGAATAGCAGATTAGACGAATCAACCAAATATGTCCTGTGAAGTTTTTCTCCTGGAAACCAACTTTTACGAGCAAGTATTTCAATGGTCTCACGAGCAGCTTCTGTACAGGAGAGTATCTACTAAGAAAAAAAAACAGAGGAGCAAGATTTTTTGTTCCATTTTGCATTTTGAGAATCTTGAGAAAAATGTTCAAACAACTTTGT